CTGAGAAGCAGGGTGGCGTGATGGTTCAGAGGGCACCTCAGATGCTGCCACAGGATCTGTCCAATGACCATCACCCTTCGTGACTGTCGATCACTTTGTTATGATCCATGTGACCTTAGGCAGCTTTCCCAAGGTGTAAAATGGGGACAGTAATCCTTGAGTGTCTGCAGAGGTCACGTGCAGGTGTTGAGTTGCCAAGGTCGAGTGAATCCCAGACAGACAGATGGACTTGTGGCTAGTCTCAGCTCAGGGAGCTGGTGCCCGAGGCTTCCGTGTTCCTGTTGGACGTCCCCGTGCCTCCAAGCCTCGGTGTCCACCTTGTTGGAGAGACCAGGCAGGGTTTGATGCTGTCCCCTAGGAAATCTCAGCTCCTGCTGGTGCCTGGCTTGGTGCATGTCCCCACCCTGCCTGGCCTGGCCCCCCGCCCTCTCCTCTCGGTGGGTGGGGAAGCCTCCTTCCCCTCTTCGAGGTGGGAGGAGCTGGGGACCTGCCAGCTGCCGGCACCCCAGCCCCAGGAGCCCGGAGCTCAGGAATAAATGGAGCTGTGAGTTGGAGTAATCTGCTAATTGCTCAAGTAACACCCCAGTCAGAGACGTGACATAAGAACATTAGTGGGGCTCCGGCCCCCTGTGGGGCGGTGCTGGGGGGCTGGATGGGTGATGTGAGGTGAAGCTCCACGAGGTGGCCGCTGGAGGGGAGGGACGGGCTGCGTGGGCTCAGGCAGCGGGGCCTGTCGCGGGGCCGGAGACCTCCTCCCCTCAGAACCTGCCTGGCTACTCTACTACGTCCACTCTGCAGCTGAGGACAGTGGCCCTGACAAGCAGGAGCGAGGATGGCCCGTCCCCCTTCCCGCTGGGAAGCACCCTGGGCCAGTTCTGTCCCCTCCTGTCTCTGGGGACTGTGGCAGGGGCCAGAAACCCACTGGAGGGGGGAGCACCTTGAAGTGAGTTCAACAGACTCCGTGTGGGTGGCAGGGACAGGTGGGGACTGGGGCCAACTGGACGTTTGCCTCCGTCTAAGGCTGGGGGTGGCGGATGCGGCGCCCCCCGAATGGCCAGCATCGCCCGACGTTGGTTTATCTGATTTTAGACAAACAGAAGGAGGTTTTATTGGGAATCTCTCAAAGTTTTAATGCTGGCGACAAATTCAGTTACCCAGCGGACATGGTGGCCAACAGAATGTGTCCAGGCAGGTCTGGCCCGGGGATTCTGGCCCCGTCACGTTCAGGCTGTGCTGACCATGAAGGTGTGTGCGATTCCGCCCGGCGTCTTCTCCATCGCCAGAGGTGCCCCGTGGGCGGGCGTCACTGCCCCCAGTTACAGAGGAACCAAAGCCCGGGGCCAAGGTGGCCAAGCGGCAGTGGTGGGGCTGGGGCTGGGACCCAGGAGCCCATGGCCCGTCCCCTCCTCACGGCCTCCCAGGGATGACGAGCATGGGTCTGCTGAGAAGTCTGGGGTGACGGTCAGTGAGTGTACGGTGGCCTCTGCCTGTTTTGCAGTCGCTTGCCTCTTGTCCCCTGCCACCAGCTGACCCACCCGGGGGCCAGGCTGGGCATCAGGATGTCCTCCAGCAGCTGAGTCCCCTGGCTCTAGGCCACGTGGCTGGACAGATTGCCGGGTCCCAACTGGGCGGGTGTGAAGTTCGTAACTGGCTTCTGGACTCTTCCGTTCTGTTGCCGTGGCCCTGGGGGGCAGGAAGCCTCCCCTGCCCTCCCTGGGCTTCTTCCTAGGACACTGACGCTGACCACGTCTCACCGCACGTCTTTGAGTCAGGCACTGACCGTCCCCAGGAATCAGAGCGGAGGCTCCTGGGATCTGTTCTTGAGGGACGGTCACATGGCAGAGAGCTGTGACCGTGTTCCCGGTCAAGGGCAGCAGAGCCTCTAGGGCCCCTGGACTGCTGGTTCCCCCAGGAGGGGGTGGGTGAAGGGAGCCTCAGGGGGACACGGGGGTCCTGGGGGCCAGGGGAGGTCCTTAGCCTGGGGGGGGTCACCAGCACACCCACCGTATGGCAGGGGACGTCCGTGTTCAGAGAGGTTAAGTGACTTCCCAGTTGAGAGGGAGTCGGGACTGAGCTCAGATCAGCGGGTTCTGTGGAGGTCACAGCCGCCCAGGAACGCAGAGGAC